CACCAGAAGACGACGGCGAATTCCTCTTGACCAGCTGTCGATTGGCTTTACTGGAAGATTCATGCCGACGTGTTTTTTTAATGTCAGGCTCGGGTAAAGCGTGAGGACTCTCCTGTAATTATTGTTTTACTTATTTTATGTTACACCAATGTTGATGTATCCCCCGCCTACTTGGGGGTCCTTAACGTTGAAAGTGACGACCAGTAAGAGTGCATCTCAGGCAAAGTCTGCTCTTATCAACATACAGATTTAGTTCTGAAGCCGGTGCCAAGCCCAGCCGTGAACTAACAGGTTTGGTGAGCAAACTCCGAGGATGCCTTCAGCCCTTACACGAACTTTAATCGGTCTTCAAATTGCAAATAATTCATACATTATAATCTCTACAGTATTCTTCTTCGTCATGCACACATGCATACATAAGTTGACACACATATGCACACGAACCGGCATTTGCACCCGCGCCATCATGCATTCATTTATGCCCTGGTTAGTCATTCGAGCTTGGCGGCACGTCTTATTAGCATTATGGTATTATGCTCTGTCAGCCATAATAATGCCTAAATTATGCTCTCTACTTTTCCCGTCTTCACTCCGTCTCCAACAGTGCTGGTAATGAGAATGTCGCGCTGTGGCGCATTTCTTCGTTTCCTACATTTATGCACGCACGGCTATTTGACGGCTTCGGCCCTTCGCCATTACAATCGACTTCCGCCTTCGACTCTCAGACCTAATGCGTGTACTTATGTACATTAATTTATTGTCCCCCTTGTTGAGAGTTTAGGGCTTTCCAGCTCTTCTACCACCAAAGGCTGGACTGGAAACAAGGTTTAAAGCAAGCTTTATAACTCTACCCAAGCCCTTTCGCCGGACTGATGGCAGGGCTTTCATCTCGAATTTGGCAAAAGGAAGTCTTGTGGTCTAGGCAGATGGTCAGATAGAGGAGGTCAGCAGATGATTTTCTTTCTATTAACCGCTAGTCGAATGCAAATCAACGTCTTGGCTATTAGCATGACATCCACGCCTTCTAACTTAGTTCTCTTCAGACATTGATGCCCTCTTAACATATCATTATAAGTCGGGTCAGGGTTGGCTTGAAGCGTCACACTTTTCACGCCGTTGCGTCTAAATGGCTTGAATTTAAATAAGTAAGCTTTTGACATATACGTCTATGCATATATCTATGTGTCTATCCCCTCTTGCATGACAAATTGTCCAATATCTAATCAACCGTTTATCCTTCTTCTTGCGCCATACCCTTGAAACAGGATCCGACAATCTATGCGGTATATGGTGCTTCTCTCATAATAGCTACAAAGGAGCTATATCTGCACTCTTCAAGACAGGATTGCATGCCGTCTCTGAGAGTATAGAACAAACTTTCATTATATTCTCATAAATATGAAACCGCGGTATCCTTGCCAACCTGAGGGGCATAATCGTTTGCATTTTCTTGCGAGATAGGTAAATTATCGCGCGGTAACAGATGCTTGTCTGCGATTCCTTTTCTCTGTCTTTGGGTTGATTTCTACCAAGGCTCGTCATGTGTACAGACTAGTTTATAAAAAATCATTTGAGCAAGGCGCCTCCTGCTTTAGGTCCTTTTCCACATCTATATGACGTAGCCCTCTGGATCTAAGTCAGACAATCCATGTGGATCTAATATAGCTACGTTTTGGCTTCCTCTGACCGAGCATAC